TAGGTTTTTATTAGATTTTGGCCCAACTGTTCCCTCATATTCCCAGAGAAACATCAGTCATTATCGTTCAACTTTTCCACACAGCAGAGTGCGTCCTCTGTGGTCACACTGAGAGAGATGTATTTTAAATATTGTGTATTACAGGACATTGTTTCAGTTAATGGGAGACAGACTACTCTAACTTGGGAATGCTTCTATGATAACAGGAAAAGTGTTTTCTTAAACTGAAAGTCAATGGCGTTCTCTCTTCATGTCGAGAGGCTGTTCAGCTCCGCAGGGAGGAGAAACTACAGCGAGCTCCACTGGAGCATTTTCTGTTAGCAGTAAGTAAAGGCTTGGAGAAATAAATACATAATGTAACCTCTTTTATTATCAGTTGTTCTTTCACACACACACACACACACACACACACACACACACACACACACACACACACACACACACACACACACACACACACACACACACACACACACACACACACACACACACACACACACACACACACACACACACACACACACACACACGCACGCACGCACGCACAAGATCTCTGCCAAGGCTGTTTCCGTAACTGAAAAATGATCCGGAACATAGTGACATCACTATTGAACACTTGTGCTCCTATTGGCTAGTACTCCATCACATTATAGGAGATAGGCAAAGGGGCGGGACATCTCTCAGTGGTTGACCAATCACAACAGAGCCGGCCAGATAACCAATCAGAGCAGACTGGGCTCTGGTTTCAGACAGAGGGTGAAAAGAGGTGCGGTAGCACAGTATGAGAAGAATAAAGAGCTTTTTGAACATTAAAGCATGGAGACATGTAGAGACACTACATACTGATATACACCTGAACATCAGCAGGAGAGGACTCTTTAAAGTAGAGACACTAGATACTGATATACACCTGAACATCAGCAGGAGAGGACTCTTTAAAGTAGAGACACTACATACTGATATACACCTGAACATCAGCAGGAGAGGACTCTTTAAAGTAGAGACAATACATACTGATATACACCTGAAAATCAGCAGGAGAGGACTCTTTAAAGTAGAGACACTACATACTGATATACACCTGAACATCAGCAGGAGAGGACTCTTTAAAGTAGAGACACTACATACTGATATACACCTGAACATCAGCAGGAGAGGACTCTTTAAAGTAGAGACACTACATACTGATATACACCTGAACATCAGCAGGAGAGGACTCTTTAAAGTAGAGACACTACATACTGATATACACCTGAACATCAGCAGGAGAAGACTCTTTAAAGTAGAGACACTACATACTGATATACACCTGAACATCAGCAGGAGAGGACTCTTTAAAGTAGAGACACTAAATACTGATATACACCTGAACATCAGCAGGAGAGGACTCTTTAAAGTAGAGACAGTACATACTGATATACACCTGAACATCAGCGAGAGAGGACTCTTTAAAGTAGAGACACTACATACTGATATACACCTGAACATCAGCAGGAGAGGACTCTTTAAAGTAGAGACAGTACATACTGATATACACCTGAACATCAGCGAGAGAGGACTCTTTAAAGTAGAGACACTACATACTGATATACACCTGAACATCAGCAGGAGAGGACTCTTTAAAGTAGAGACACTACATACTGATATACACCTGAACATCAGCAGGAGAGGACTCTTTAAAGTAGAGACAGTACATACTGATATACACCTGAACATCAGCAGGAGAGGACTCTTTAAAGTAGAGACAGTACATACTGATATACACCTGAACATCAGCGAGAGAGGACTCTTTAAAGTAGAGACACTACATACTGATATACACCTGAACATCAGCAGGAGAGGACTTATTAAAGTAGAGACACTACATACTGATATACACCTGAACATCAGCAGGAGAGGACTCTTTAAAGTAGAGACAGTACATACTGATATACACCTGAACATCAGCAGGAGAGGACTCTTTAAAGTAGAGACACTACATACTGATATACACCTGAACATCAGCAGGAGAGGACTCTTTAAAGTAGAGACACTACATACTGATATACACCTGAACATCAGCAGGAGAGGACTCTTTAAAGTAGAGACACTACATACTGATATACACCTGAACATCAGCAAGAGATAACTCTTTAAAGTAGAGACACTACATACTGATATACACCTGAACATCAGCAGGAGAGGACTCTTTAAAGTAGAGACACTAAATACTGATATACACCTGAAAATATAATGTGTCCACTTTAATACAAATCAACATAAAGTCTATAAAGAAAGTCATCTAAACTCGAATGTGTCTTCTGATTATGACAAAACTGTTGAAACAAGTTGTGCAAAGTTCCTAGTATGTATTTTTTTCCTATTGCACTTTCAACTCCAGCCTTTCTCTTTGTTTCAGTTTAAAGTTGTCCCACTTACTTTTCTCTCTGCCTGTTCCCCTGCTAAAGACTTCAGTTTGAACAGCCACTCTCTCTCACTTCACTTCAGTAGCGCTGCTCAGAAGCTCCGTGCTGATCTCTAATTGAAATTGAAACCTGCTCTCAGAGCCTGCCACTCAGCGACAAACAGCTGATTGAAAGAGCTGGATTTAACAGAGTGTGTGAGACAGAGAGGAGATAATGTGCTGAATAAATAACTGGCAGGGAAAGGGGAGCTATTCGAAGCCTAAAAGTGGAGTATGTGTTGAAGTTATTAGGACCGAGAGTTTATAATTCACAGCAGAGAAGAACAGTCAAATGAACCATGTGACATCTCCTTTGTGTCTCTGTCATTAGCTTTCTTTGCCCACACAAGAATAATATTATGTTATATCTGCTTATTATATAAGATGAATGGTTTGTAATCAGTAACATGTTCATTTAACTGGAAGTAGTGCATCTGTATTCTGATATAGTGGATTATTGTGTATATTTCTTAGACTGAACATAGTTTTTTTTAACCTTTTACCTTCGCTCTTTAGCGATAAGGGTGGTGGCGAAGTCCATATGGACTTGGCTTGGCAACTGGAAGGTCACCAGTTCAAGTCCTGGAAAGACCAAGTGCTACCGAGGTGTCCCTGAGCAAGGCACCATTCCCTACACTGCTCCCCGGGCGCCGTACATAATGGCACTGCTCCTAACACTAGGATGGGTCAAATGCAGAGAAACCGTTTCGTTACATAGTACCTGTACTACGTAATGACAATAAGTTGAATCTTCTAATATCTCTATGAAACTCCCTTCTTTGATTTTCTACATGTTGTATCACACGCTATACGAAATATTATGTTTAGATGTGTGAATAATCTTATTTATTGTGGGCTAATTTCCATATAGGGAGGCGTGTGGATAGAGCCTTGGTGTTGGGATCAGGGGGTCACAGGTTCAAACCCCACTGCAGTCAGCATGTCGTTGTGTCCCTGAGACACTTCACCCCAAATTGCTCCTGTGGGGATTGTCCACAGTATTGAGTATGTTAGTCGCTTTGGATAAAAGCGTCTAACAAGTGACATGTAATGTAATGTAATATATTTCCAGAAAATAAATAAGGCACAACTTGAGATGTAGCACACGATTCTGTCTTTTGAACTTGTGTCTTTTCACGTGTACTGTGGACTTATACTTGTATATTGCAATGTCATATGTCATATTAGAGTCCAATTTGCAATGTGGAGCTTTTCCCTTCTCTCTCCTCTTTTCTATATTTCACCAAGACTAAAAATGCATCTCAAGAGTCTGCAGGTTTCTCATTAGCTCACCTTTAGCTACAGGAGGACTAATGAGTGAGTTAAGGATATAAGGAATAAGAAAAACGCTAACAAAACAAGGTAAAAAAACACCATATTTATTCCTTCTAATTAGTTCATCCTAAGAGAATATACTGCACACACGAACAGGTTAATGATCCCTGCACAACGGGGGCGGGGCGGTGACATGTATACTGTATATGGACAATCCATAACAGAGAGGGAAAGCAGGGGAGGGTGGGGGGGGGGCTCGATCGTTGCTTTAAAAGCCTCTAATCTACTTAAAGGAAAACTCCTTTACTCAATCACTAGTAAGTAGAGAGAGGATAAAGTGTACATGTAAAAGACAGGAGGCATCCATAAATCATTGGAAAACTACGAAAAAGTGTAATAAAATAACAGGAAGAGATACATCAATGTACCACAAGGAAACTAAAAGTACCTTCAGGAACATTATGAGATTAATATAGTAATAAAAAACCATTATGCAAAGCATTGATTGATGGTTATTAGCTCATTTACTACCCTCTAAGTAAACCAATGGGACATTATAGGGAAATGTAAGTTTCATATAAGTATGTTACATAGGGGAACACTGAGGAAATATACTACTTATATTATTAAACAATATATAATGGCTCTAATTTATCCTGGCTTGAATATGTGTGGCTTTATTCAATCTAAAACAAGCAGTATTATAGTAAATACAGAAACGTATCCAGTGTAAATGATAGGAAAAACGTACAGTTGGCTACCTCCATTGAAACAGTGTAATAAAATAACATGGTGAGATCCATTAGGAAACTCAGAGTCCATTACGGAACATAATTGGATTATTATTATAAATAAATAAATGTATGAGGAAAGCATTAATTGAGCACCATTAGCCTCTGCAGCCCCTTTACTACCCTCTATATAGTGCACTAATGGAATATTACAGGTAATAAGTTTGTCACATCAACTGAGAAATTACACTGCTGCTATTATAATAAAGAGTTATGTTTAATATGTTATTGCTTAGTCCTGGCTTAAAGTGTTAGACAATATGTGTGGCTCTATTAACGCCGTACTACCCTCTATAGTAAACTAATAGGATATTACAGGGAATAAGTTTGTCACATAGGGAATACAATCTGCTATAATAACAAACGCTAGTGTTCAATGTTATTATTACTCCAATGTGTCCTGGCTTAACGCATTAGACAATATGCATGGCTTTATTCAGGCTAAAACAAGCAGTAACGCGATAAAAAAAAACAACGTCAATCCTAGTTAC